TGCACTTCAAGCCTTAAATGGAACGCCTCAGAGCGAGGTAACGCCGCATGAGTCATGTTTTTTCGTGCGTGCAGCCGGCTCCATCGAATTATAAGACGTTGTTACGTCAAAAATTGATACCAAGAGCGTATACCTGCTTCTATTAGATTTTACATTACATCGAAATTGCTTTTAAAAATTTATTCTTCCTCATCTTAATTGTGAACTTTGTGAAATTCAAGATCTCAAGTACAGTTCTTGAATTTCTGCTGAATGTTTGGAAATAATAAGAATGATTCCTAGATATATTTTTTCTATCCCAAATATATTCATTTTTAATGTATTCAAGTCACACCTATTTTTTATCAAAAATGCCATAGAAAATGGTAATCAAGTGTGGAAATTCTGGAATATAATCAAGGATTTTTCTCAAAAAATCAACCATTTTCACTGTTTTGATTAAAGAGAATGCGCACTTAATAGTTACGCTATTGGAAACTACACAAAGCGATATAGGATTTCAGAAAGACTACGTTATTATACACCTCGTATTGCAGGTATTTTTGTTCGGAATAAAATTCTAGATGAAAAGCCAACGCCTTCCGTTCGTTGCCGGATGAGAAACAAATTCAAGCGGAAGAAGCTAGCTGAAATTATAGCGCCAAATGTAAATTAAAAACAAGGTGGAGCAATTTTAAGAAGAGGACTTAATTTTAAGAAAATAATTAGTAGCATTTTCACGACAGAGAAAATTGCCAACTCCGAAGAACATTCGGTGGATGTTTTTATCGTACTGCGTACTACTTTTCATCTTGGGAAGAAATTAATTATTCGGTATGATCTTTTTAGGCTCTACTCCTACTGATGGAGTTTCTTTTTTGATATCGTGTACGTATGTAATGACCACCTACGTCATTTATTAAGCGTTTCAAGAAGTATGTTAATTTAATAATAATAGTTGCAGGTATTAGGTTAAGTTGTGACTGCACTTTATTTCTTCAAACTTGATAGAGTAGAAGCTGAGATATAATGTGATTTTTAAGGAATATTACTTAACATTGGTTTATCTTTTGGTGATTTTATATTATCACACAATAGAATGATTATCCTCAAGTGTAGGTAGATATGAATGGAAATGTAACAATTTCTACAAACAGAGACCTCAAGGGTCGTAAGCAGTTAAACTTGATATCAAAGAATTCTGAAATGTAATTATATATCTACATCTAAATTAACTAATGAGATATTTCAAAAAATGAATATTAAAAGGAACAATAAAATTTCTTTGTCAGTTCTCATCAGCACGCCGACCGAACCGAAGTTTGTTCGAGCAAATTAAATGCAGGGTTAATTAGCGAATATTATAATCAGCTGTAGTTTTCAAGTAGCAGATTGCAATTAAAATAGGAGGAAACATTGAAAAATGTCAGAGATTTTTATTGGAACAAGTACGTCAGCGTTATAATTACGAAAAGTACCCGGAAGGTTTGAACAGGTGAGAGCTCGTGCTGTGGACGATTTAAAGAGCAGTTTTCGTTCCGATGGTTAACGTATTTATTTAGGTATGTTTTAGATCAGATGCGGGATAAGATTGCTCGCCACAGACATTTTTACGGTGGTAAAGAGTTATTTTTATGGCTAATTTTTACATAAATTCGCTAATTGAAGAAAATGAGAGCGAGTTTTAATACCGCTTCAACACGTAACCAAGCCGTAATTTATTTCTGTGTTTTTAAAGTACCCTAATCCTTATTATTTTGTTCCATTAAAACGTAAACCTATTGAAGGATTCATGAGAGGGGAATTACCGTCGCTGCTAGATTAAATAAAAAAAAAAAAAAACGAAGTTCTGTTGCTCGAGAGAATTTGCTCCGAAGTTTTCTTTCTTTATACGTAATCAAATTTTCTCAGTTTAGTGTCAATGCAGTAGAAGTCAGTTATTTCTGCATAATTTAAAACCTAAAAAATTATGGCGGAATAATAGTTACAATATAGTTGCAAATAGAGAATAGAATAGGGATGTGTAGATAAAATTTAAATTGTAGCATGTAAAGATATACGGCAGATTCGATGAGATTTCAAGGCCTATTACGTAAAGCTGTGTTGCAACAGACCTCTGTTACCCTTTCCGCAGTTGCGGAAGTTCCGCATACATTTTGACATCTGGTTCCGAATTTTTAAAACGGAAGCTATCGGAACTTAACAAAATCTTATTTTTAATCTTTCTAAAAATCAATATATCGGGACAATAAAACAAGTCGTAAAAATTTATTACTTTTATCTATTAGCGTTAATGCAGGATTAAAATCGGCAAATTTTTGTTAATAATAATATTGCTCCTTTGCAAATAACTTTATTATAATTTAAGGCCTAAATCTATTTCCTAGTATTTTGTATGTTGATACTTTCAAAATTTTGTTTTCTTATTAGTTTCCTAATTTAATCTAAAAACGCCCAGGGCTTTCAGCTCTCCTTTAGCCAGTTCTCCTAATAATTTCATTTCGAAAATACTAATTCAGTTATAGCGTTTATTTATTTTGTATATAGTGTTTGCTCGGTGGTGTAAATTTTAAGTTAAAAGTGCAATTTTGAAGTCAAAAATAAGTTCCATTTGGGATTATTTTGTTGATATGGACGATGCAAGTGCTAAAAGCAAAATTTGTAACAAAAAATTCGCGAAAAGGGTACATTAAAGTGTCACTTATAATCATTACACCTCCGCTTCCGCATCCGCATCCGCAAAAATTTACTATGTACTTCTGTTTACGCTTCTGTTTTCGTTATGACACTTCCGTTTCATCGCTAGTTTGGTACCACTTGAGTGCTACTGAGCAAGTGCTTCATTGGTGTAACATTGCAACGTAGTTGTTTCAGTGGACAATATGAAAACCTTAAATGACCTTTGTCTTAGTTACATTTAGAAAATAAACAATTTTACCTAGCCATCTTGAGTGGTTTACACATTTCTACTAGAACCTCAATCGGTAGTTATAGCTTGCAGTATATTCCAAGGCTTACGTCCGATCGGTTCCCTATCCCTGGTCTAAACTAACCTAATTTAACAAATAAATATGCAGGCCTTACGTTTTTCAATTACACAACGATTATTTATTATTAAATATTGTCGAATTTAAATGAGGTTTGATTAGCATGGGTAACACAGCAGGCTGTTATGGATAATTTAATAATTACTGTCGTCTTTAATTGAAGTGAAAAAATGTACGAGCACGAGTACTAATTGTGTGCCTACTTGCTGCCGGTGACACAGGTACGTACTTGGTTTAATAAAACATGTCCATTAAGGAGAATTTAGTGACGCGGCCGGAGCCACTGCATGTCAAGAAGACATTTTTCGAAGTCGGTAGCAACCGCAGCGGCGGCATATAAAATTCACTTCCCGTGTGCGCAAAATTATATGCTCACGTGTTCGAATTAATTTTCGACCAGTGTGTTACTTTTCGAATTTCGAATTAAAAAGCAAAACAGGACCCGTCCAAGCTTTTCTCTCCCGTTCCATTCTCACATCCGTTTCCGGGCGAGGCAACCAAGAAATTGACGGCAAGCTGCAAATTTCAAATAAGAAAAAAAAATAATAAATTCCACATACGATTTCTTAATTCTATCGACGTGTTCTACAACTACGGATTCGCAAATGTTGATAATAATAAATAATAACGCTTGTTATTGGCTGGTATTTGGTTTTAAAACCGTTAATGCTAATGAACAATGACGGCTAAGGCTGCTTATCCACGAGTCCGATTGGACTACCGCCGGAACGGTGACGGTTGAGTGACAAACATCGGTCACACACCTATATTTTATATCTACAGCCAGAACGCGATCTACAACGACTTGACACGATAGACTTATGACGGTCCGTCGATATTTTTTTTTTAACGGATGAAGTGGCTGAAGAAGATCCATGATAAGTGAAGAATTCATGACCGTATATAAAAGCACCCCTCCTTATTATTTACACAACAACTCGTCACTTTATGTCGACTTTACGGAATAAAAAATTCAATTTGACTGATCAACGTCGTTTGAGCGGATGTGGCTACTAGTTACGATCCGATGCGGATCAGACAGCTTTAATTAGTTTTCCAAAGGTCCGACCACAATTTAATCGAATTCGTGGACGACCGTCCTAAGTTTCAATATTAATAGGAATATCCATCTGGGGGAATCGCTCGTTTTATATTATTAGATATATGTTTAAAAAGGTGCCAGAAATGAAAAAGTCAAACCCTTAGATTTCTACTGTTTTTCTTTTACTGATGACCCAATATTTTGAATCTAGCTCTGATTGACTTGCAAAGATTTATTTTATATGAATGGGAATGTTTTAAGTCTTCTTTATAGTATACCTATCACAAGATTAAATAATTAATTGTCAAAATGTTAAGTCCAATAAGAATCCTTGTTATATTATTAACATTTAAAGCATGTTTCATCAAATCACATTTATGGTTAGGATTAATATAAGCTCCTTTTCGTAGATAATTGTATTAGATTTCATGTGGAGATTGGTTGTAGTTTTAAGAATAACATGTGGGGTGTTATTTACATAAAAGAAGCAATTGCGGGGATTGTAGGAGTCTAGCGTTTAGATCCCTAAGTATAAGGATCCGTCATCTGCGAAAAGGGTTAAAACTGAATGTTTTCTGACATGCAACGATTTTTAATGTGTTTTATGCACGCATGATTTTCTTAATCAAAGTAATCCTTATTTATTGGATTGTTGTTCTTGTTGTTCTTTTGAGCCTTAATTACAGAAGTTCGGACCAGTAAATTAACTAATGTCTGCCTGCGTTTCTATCCTGGCGACTCTTCAATTTTAAAATTGAAATAACCACTATTTTATTATGATCTTATCATGTAAAGTGCACGATTACTGCTTTTTACAGTTGATAGGTAATTGCCGCATTATAACGTTGATTACAAATATATTTTATTATTAATGCTTCTGAAACTCGTTCAGGTTTTAAACGTCTTTCTCAAATTAACATAAAGAAAAAGTTAATTTATAAAAAATAACACAGAACAAATTTGTCAAGAATGAGCCACTTTAAATACAATTTATTTTTATTGTATGTAATTAGTTCTAGTCGGGTAAATAAAGGATTGAACCTTAGAAATTTGGCAGTAAGCGAAATGCGGTTTTCTCCATCCTATTTGTGAGACCGTCTACAAACTTAAAAAAATCTTCAAAAAAGGCATCGATGCTTAAAAAAATGCAGTTTTATAAGTGAATTACAACTCGGTCAGCGAGCCTCAAAGCCTCCCAGTAACTAATTTCAATTGATTTTTAATGAATTTAAAACATAACTCCTGGAGACGACCTGTAGGTGTGAAGGTCGCCCAGGGCCCCGGTATCTCGGAGGCCGCCGCCAACTACATATTAGTGGTCAGCAACTCTCAAAACATCCCAGCAACTAATTTCAATTAATTTAAAACATAATTCCTAGAGACGACCTGCAGGTATGACGGTCGCCCTGGGCCCCGGGTATCTCGGAGGTTGTCATTGACTATATATTCTTGTTCAACAACCCTCAAAACCATCGAGTAACTAATTTCAATTGATTTTTAATAAATTCAAAATATAACTCCTGGTGACATGTATAACGGTCGCCCTGAGGCTCAGGTCGTCCCGATTGCATATTCGGGTTCATCGACCCTCAAAACCTTCGAGTAACTAATTTTAATTGATTTTTAATGAATTTAAAACATAACTCTTGATGAAGACGTGTATGACGGTCGTCCTGAGGCGCAGGCATCTCGGAGGTCGTCCCGATTGCATATTCGGGTTCATCGACCCTCAAAACCTCCGAGTAACTAATTTCAATTGATTTTTAATGAATTTAAAATATAACTCCTGGTGACATGTATAACGGTCGCCCTGAGGCTCAGGTCGTCCCGATTGCATATTCGGGTTCATCGACCCTCAAAACCTTCGAGTAACTAATTTTAATTGATTTTTAATGAATTTAAAACATAACTCTTGATGAAGACGTGTATGACGGTCGTCCTGAGGCCCAGGCATCTCGGAGGTCGTCCCGATTGCATATTCGGGTTCATCGACCCTCAAAACCTCCGAGTAACTAATTTCAATTGATTTTTAATGAATTCAAAATATAACTCCTGGTGACATGTATAACGGTCGCCCTGAGGCTCAGGTCGTCCCGATTGCATATTCGGGTTCATCGACCCTCAAAACCTTCGAGTAACTAATTTTAATTGATTTTTAATGAATTTAAAACATAACTCTTGATGAAGACGTGTATGACGGTCGTCCTGAGGCGCAGGCATCTCGGAGGTCGTCCCGATTGCATATTCGGGTTCATCGACCCTCAAAACCTCCGACTAACTAATTTCAATTGATTTTTAATGAATTTAAACATAACATAACTCCTGATGACGGTCGCCCTGGACCCCAGGTTATAAAGTTTGTAGACGGTCCCACAAATCGAATGCAATAAACCGAAAATCTCTATCTGACTTACTGCACAAAAATTCGAAGGTTTGGCCTAATTTTGTGCTTTATTTCCTCGACTTTTCTGAAAAAGGTCCGAATCGTGTGAAATTTTGTATTTATTAATTTGGAGCCTATTAATTAATTCTATTTAAAATAAAATTGTCATACCAAAGATGCAGCGGCACACAGCGACCCCTTCTAAAACAAAACAGTAGTTTAGACCGGAATTTTGGACATTTCTTTAATTAAAAATACTTGATGGTTATTGTTATTATTAGTTATAATTGTTATTAAGTTATTTTGCGTTCATTAAAAAACAACATATAATACGCTTTTGCGAATGCCATATATTTTTTTTGCATCTTTTTTTATTGCTTAATAAGCTTTTGCGCATACATAATCTGTTTGGACTTGATTTGCCATTATTTTAATAACTGAAATTTATCAGCGAAGTACCGATAGTTCCGGCATATTTCTTATCAAACCTTATGATTAAAATAATAATTAATGTAAGTTATAATCCATAAATGTTCGTTCATAATAGTTCTTAAAACTTGTCTATAAGTCACAGTAATGTGATAATTTATTGTATAAAAACGATAAAACTGAAACTCAAACAATATGAAATAATATTTAAAAAAAGCATTAAAATTAAATTAAAGCATAAATACTAATTAAACGTGTTTAAATAATTATAAATGTAATTAAGAAACGTTAATGAGAAGGTGGTGTGCCCCCATACAATATTATTTAATTTGATAGGAAAAAACGATTGATATTTCTTTACAAATATTACGGATCAGCAAAACCACACCAACAAAACCAAGATAAAGACTTAATTTTCAAGACCATCGGGTTAATTGGGTGGTGTCAATATATATTTTACGTATAATTTTATTTGATGTAAAAATCATTCTTTTTTTTTACTATGATTGGTTTTATCATTGTTCACCATTATTAAAAATATCAGGGAATCACGTTCACCCTGTAGACAAAATAAATGATCTATTTGTATTATTGAACGTGCAAATTTTTTTTAAGGGATAATAAGCACACCGCCTTCTTTCCAAACAAAAATTAAATTTAACCAAGGGTTAGTAAAAGGAAAATAATAAAAAAAACCTGTGTGTACATACATGGCTTACTTTTGAAGTATGCGTTCGCAAACTGGACTCGGTGGCGAAACCCTTTCCGCATATGTTGCAATGGAAGGGCCTGTTTTTCGCCCTTTCCACCTGCGCGTCGTGGTTGCGAAGGTGCTGCTGAAGATTCGATAGTTGAATAAAGGCCCGGCCGCAGTCTGGTAGATGGCACTTATACGGTCGTTCACCTGTACCAAAAAAAAAATTATTAATTTTCCTTGGATACATACATAGTAGAATATAGAATATATCTTGATAGGCGTAAGAAAGTTGAAGTCAAATGAATGGAGTTCCGCAAGGGACTAAAATCGGGCCGATACTGTTGACTAGTAACCTTGAAAAGCTGTAAATAGAATTCCACAATGTACAACGGATTGGACAGGCATTTTGTTAAGGAAAAGTGGCAGTGAGATTATTTAGGATTTAATATCAATACATACTTGTGTAGATATAAGTATTAATAGACTAAAATGGAGTTCCTCAAGGCCTTAGTGCAGGGCCAATATACTTAAAAATATGAGAAACGTTCTACTCTTTTTGTGTTTCTTTTGATTCTCGAACCCCTCGGAATGGTAACGTCTTAAATGACTTTTCGATTTGTTTTTTTAATAAAAGAAGAGTTTCCCTTCGCAATTTCGGTATCGAACTGGTTCCTCTTATATTAAAAATGTGAAAAGAAGTTCACGGCCAATTTGGATCGGATAATGGAAGTTTTAATTCGGCAAAATTCTTTCTTCCATTCGGCGACAGTTTTTTAATAAAGGAGTTATTAGTTTTATTGGACAGAATATCGACGGATTAAAACGGAGGGTGGCGTTGAGGATTTTCGCCGGGGCAAGACGCTGTCGGACTCGGATATTTCGAAAAAAAAATACCCAGGAATTTTTGCAATATTATCGGCTGTGATGAACATTCGACGAAAATAAAACGAACGTTTGACATACGATATTAAATAATTTTCTTCTTCTTACGTTATCTTAATATAAACATACATAATAATAATGCTGCTAAATAAACGGGACACTTTCTTGCTTGAAGATATACAAAAAGGATATTCACTTATTTGTAAAAACAGTTTTAGTGAAAATAAGATTATCTACAGCATATAACTATTTATAGGGTAACAAGTAAAGTATGACCTTTGTAACCGATGTTCCTTGAGTTATTGGGAGAGTATTCTATTTTTTCAGTCTTTTATTCCAGCTGAATCGTCTCTTTATATTAAAATGCATGCAACTAACTATACATCTGAATATAGACTTTTAGTTACGCCCTTCCATTTTTTACAATTGTTTATTTCCAACTGGAAATTCCTGATTATTAATTATAGATTCTATTTAATCAAAAGTATATCAAAGAAACCCTTACATCATTTGACAAAACTCTAGTCCTTTTTCTACTTTCGAAAAGTCATATATCTACACATTTGTCCGTGAATTACTGGTAGACAAATAGGCAAACAAATTTGTGACCAGAGAATAGAATAGAACAATATTATGTATATATACATATGACAAGGCAAGGGAAGAAAACGTAGGGAAAGAGCGAATATAAAAATAGGCGACGAAAAATTAGAAGAAGTGACTGATTTTAAGTATTTAGGAAGTCAGATAAGTCAGGAAGGATGGATTAATAGGGATATAAAGCAGAGGATAGCGCAGCGTCGAGTCGCCTTCAATAATAAGAAATCACTTTTATGCTCGCGAACGGTTAATTTAGAAATTTGAAGAATATTGTTAAAGGTGTATGCTTGGAGAGCGGTGCTGTACGGGTTCGAAATATAGACGGTGGGCGCGGCGAAAAAGAAAAGGTTAGAAGCGTTCGAAATGTGGTTTTACAGGCGAATGATGAGGATACTGTGGATAGAGAAGGTTAGAAATGAAGAGGTATTAGAAAGAATAGGAGAACAGAGGTCTCTATGGAAGTCAATAAGAAATAGGCGAGATAGGTTGTTAGGACACCTTCTCAGGCATGAAGGTCTAGTCAGAGACATTTTATAGGCAGAAACGGGAGTCAGGAAGAGTAGAAATAGATCTAGATTGGATTCCTGTTTGCAAATAGTTAAGGATGTGGGATATTCTAGTTTTAGCGAAATGCGAAGATTAGCTCAGGATAGGAAAGAGTGGAGATGCGTGTCCAACCAGTCTTAGGACTGGCGACCTTATGATGATGATATATTTTCCTTTAAACCAGACTTAGTGAGCCACATCATTAAAACCAAAACGCCTTACGTCAGATATGGTATATACAATTTCTTGATTAAAATCCCCTAGCACTTCGTCGTTTATTTAATATTCATGTAAGTACATGTGTTTTGTTAGCGTTTAACTGTGAGTATTATAATTATTTGTTTTTATCGAATAAAGGAAGTAATTTATCCACCCTTTAGATGTCAGCGTTCGTCGTGTGCATACGTACGTATCTACCTACATTCATGCGTGTAGATACGCGATAATACGGTCACACGTCGATGTGAGTATGTAAATAAATAATTAATTCGTGGCTCCGTTTAACATCGGCCGTTCTTCCGCGATGAGAGTGACTTTTTTGTGGCCCTTTTTTTCGTCCACGGTAATAATAACACATCAGGTACCGTACGCATATGGTCAAGTAAATCAAGCCGAAAATTGAACCGCGAGGGTGCAAACGGAACGGGTTACGACGATCGAAAGAATCAACCGGGCCGTGGCGGTAGCATCTGCTTTCCTCCTGCTGGTCTGGTCTCAGTTCACCAGGTCACTGTGACTCCACACCGACATTAGCGTGGTATCGTCATTATTATTGTTGTTGTTGTGGGTCGTCGAATAAAATGCGAGCATCGAAGTAAAAATTGAACGGGGTTATCGGCCTTCACGACCTACATCGAATGCTTAAATTAGTTTTTATTGTCGTATCATCACCGTTCCATTTTATTTATTAAATAGACCACTGGCGACGATTTTGTGCAGTGGAGACAATATCAATAGGCATCTACTAAAATATCATGGAGTTTATTAACCAAGCTGAACTGGTGCTGACCTGTATTAAGGAGTATTGCATTACAAGCTACATATAATAGAAGATGTGCTTTCGGTTAAACCTGATTTCAGGATAAACTAGTTTTGTGTAAGTTTAGGTTGGTCTGGTTTGAAATTTAAATACTAATTAGGTCTAGGAAAACCCAGATTATCCTTAAATATTGTTTGACTGGTAACTAGGACTAGGCGAAACTGCTTCATAATATTGCTCTTCATATAAACTGGTTTGGTCTAGGCAAAACTAGTTTATCTTTAAATAAGGCTTGTCTGGTAACGGATTTAGAACAGACCCATTGGGACTAGGTGAAATTGGTTCACATTATCGCTCTTTGGATAAACCGGTTTATCCTGAAATATTGTTTGGCAGGTAACAGATTCAGGACAAACTAGTTTGGACTAGTCTAAACTGGTTCATAATATTACTGTTAGGATAAACTGGTTTGACCTAGACAATACTAGTTTATCTTGAAGTAGGATTTGACTGGTAACGGATTTAGAACAAACCCATTTGGACTAGGCGAAATTGGTTCACATTATCGCTCTTTGGGTAAACCGGTTTATCCTGATAAATTTTTTGACCGGTGACAGATTCAGGACAATCCAGTTTGGATTAGTCTAAACTGGTGCATAATATTGCTCTTCGAATAAACTGATTTGACCTAGGCAAAACTAGTTTATCTTGAAACATGTTTTAACTGGTAACGGATTTAGAACAAACCCATTTGGACTAGGGGAAATTGGTTCACATTATCGCTCTTAGGATAAACAGGTTTATCCTGAAATATTGTTTGACCGGTAACAGATTCAGGACAAACCAGTTCGGACTAGGCAAAATTGGTTCATAATATTACTGTTAGGATAAACTGATTTGACCTAGACAATACTAGTTTATCTTGAAGTAGGATTTGATAGGTAACGGATTTAGAACAAAACCCATTTGGACTAGGTGAAGTTGGTTCACATTATCGCTTTATCCTGGAATATTGTTGGACCGGTAACAGATTGAAGACAATCCATTTCGGATTGGGGAAACTGGTTCATTATATTGTTCTTTGGATGGACTGGTTTGACCTACGTAAAACTAGTTTATCCTAAACTCGGGTTTGATCTTAAACGTTTTAAATAAGTAAAAGTTAGTATTTTCGACACTTGTGTTCGTTTAGCTATTCAGTATATATAAGGAACAGTACGTTGTTCGTAGGTCATATAGTTACGCACAGAGAGACAGATAGATACATAGATATAGAGAAAAGCGTAGTTACTATCGAAGTCTTGGTGGATTGTGAACACTCTGTTGTGCACGATTTTGGTTGCGTCTAAAGAAGGAAAAAGGGCTTGACCAGGCCGATGGCTAAAGCGATATCTCGACTTTATTATTGTGGCACTTGCTTTTGCCTTTTCAGCGGGGCCCATACGGCACTGGGCACTCCTCTTTAGATAATTCTTTAGCGGCCGCATGTTACTCCAACCGACTACATATAGAAAGGTGTAGTATCATTATTAAACGATTGTATGTGAACCTATTTTATTAAACAACTTATAGCACATGTTCTATTATTCATACTGCTTCATGTTATCATGGGCAAATAAAGTGGGACATATGCAGCATACAGAGTTAGTTATGACTTATGTACATCCTACCCTACTAACAGAGCCACAATTTTTAACTAAAGGGGAGGTTTTAAAGGCTGCAAATATCCACTTCTATAAACCATGCATAAAATTACTAGCCGAACACTCTCCATTTAGTTTGTTGATTATTTATCTGAGAATTATTTAAATAGCGAGCATAATTGTAATCGAAAATAAAATGTAAGAAGTGAGTCAAGGTGGTGAGGCGGGTGACCGCCTTCAGTTTGAGAGCTCAATAAGGAAGAGATAGGATGGTAGAACACCTTTGGAGACATGAAGGACTAATTAGAGACAAAATCAGAAGCACGAAGAGTTAGAAATGTTTAATGTTCTATTTTAGACATAGGATAAGAAAGAGTGGAGGTGCGTGTCCAACCAATTTAGTAAGTTCGAATTAATCAGAATCATCTTCTATGAACAAAATTGAAAAAAGTTTAGTCAACTTTGACCTTTCTCCAAAATCAATTTGCAGTACGTTGAATTTACTATCAGTCCCACTTGTTGCGGTCACTTTTTAAATTCGATTGCATAACAAAACAAGTAAGTATTGCGTCGTTTTGTGCAAGGCGATGCCGTTCGATTTCGCGTAAACTAAAAGTCGAGGCTGAAGCGTATGATAAATGTTCGAAATTTGCCCGTTTCTGTTAACGTGTGGAGTCCGTACAACACCGTCGTTGTTCCGCGCATTGTTGGCGTTGACTTGGCGGACAGTC